CCCCTAAACCCGAAACCCCTAAACGCAAGTTTAGCTCCGAGCCTTCGGTGTGGGGTTTAGGGTCAAGGGGGGTTGGGCTTCAGGGAAGAAAATTTTGGGTGCCTTAAGACCGACCATTAGCAGAAAAGCAAACAACCAAAACAACATCAGCCGGCCCAACAAAAACACGCGTTAAAGACACCCATTCAAAAAATCGCAACGAGCTCTTTAAGCGCCACATTAATACTGGGCCAGTTCGATAGAGATCTGACTATGACCTGACGCTGCGAAAACAGAGTTAAGTCATGATGCCGAGTCGTGGACCACGGATTGAGTCCCGAACGAACAAAGCTTTAACGACTTCTCTCAGACATGGGCATTGCTGAGCTACCAGCAACTTATAGCTTGCAGATAGCCCCTCCAGCGGAGGAACAAGATCATGACCAGTCCTCTTCTGCACCTTCAATGTCCAGCTTGATCAGCCTGTTTTCAAGAGCAATACAGGGTTTCAGGAAGCCGAACAAGCTCGGGAACGTCAGTGCAACAGAACACACATGCACGCAGTCATCGTAGTTGCTACAGTCGCACTGTTCTTTACTCAAAGGCGGAACAGTTCAATTTTCGGTCGCAGTGCAGTTTCTAAAGCTGGTAGCACTTCCAACAGAGGAGTCTGAAATGGTCTCTAAGTTCGGCGAATGTATTATTAGCACACATAAACCGATGCACGCAAATGCAACAACACTCTCTGTCCGTATCATAATGTATATACATATAGAACACATTCATACATCTGGATAGTCTACAGGTATATCGTATGTGCATGCACACATGTCGTTTTTGCAATTAACACGTCTTTGCCGAACTCCTCCACGGAAATGCTGCGAACCTCTCCAACGTTGCTAAGGTTGCAAGGCGGGTTGCGAAATGGGCTGGTCCTTCAAAGTAGGAAACGCCGTCCTTGGATGCAGAGGTCTCCAAACCCCACATTCAGATTCCAGCTTTGTTTTGCAGCCACCTTCTTTAGAATTCCTCTGCAGGGGAAGAGAGACAAAGCCGTAGTCTCCAAGACATCTTCAAAGACGTCTAGCAGTTGGCATGAAGGTGCTCGCCGCCTGCAACCCACGTTGAGCACAGTAACAGCCAAAATCAACAAGATCAGACCGCGATACCAGGGTTCACCCGCGTCCGACTCGATTTGTGGCTGCGGAGACCTTCATCTATCGAACATATCTCTTCGGTGGAAATCTCAACCATGCAACAACTGCAGAAGAACACCGCCCGTTCACACCGTCAACACTTTGAAATCTACAGCCTGCGGGCGAAGTGTCTCCACTGATGTCAGGGCACTTGAGAGCCGGGCTGTAAAGATCGGCTCCTCAAATTGCAAAGGTCACTCGCGGGCTTGGAAACAAGAGTTCTGGAAGAATGTAGACGTGATGAGACATGGGAACCCGCCTAGACATTTTTCAAGTCGATCAGTACAGTATGAATGCATCTTCTCTGAATGTTCGGGATGTTTTGAATGTCGACTCACAGCCCGCTTGCTGTTTCAATTTGAGTCTCGCAGACATGCTGCTAGTGCTACTATTCAAGTTCGAGCAGGCTATTATCCACAGTGGTGCTCATTTCTCCACTAGCCCTCTCGCCGGCCCCTGCAATTACGGTGCCAGTCAGAAAATAAGTTCAAATCTTCGGGCAGTACCTGCCCTGCAGGAAGTCAAAGCCAAGACAAACCAAATTAAAGCAGCAGCAACTGCTACACTGCTTCGACAGACTTCAACCATTGGATTACAAACCTCACGCCCAAGGCTGTATCCTTTAAGACGGAATATCTTTCAACCCCAACCCGCCTGCGTGGCAAAAGTACTTCAGTGCGAAACCTTTAACTGGACACAACCAAAAACATGACTAGCTTGAACCTCGGTCGGATGACCTCAAACGCCAAACAGAAACAGCTGTAGCCGCCATCTTGATTTAATCCTGTCGTAGCTTGAGTCTTCATCTTACTTTACCTTACTCTTGGCGATAACCCAGCTCTCGTGGTCATCCTCATCGTCCTCATCACCGCCGTAACTGTAATCATCGACACCATCCAGCCTGCTTTTCGTCAGCGAAGAAGATGTCCACAAGACGGCGGTCGAAGCAACCATTGCCTTGTCCGGCAGTTTCAGTTCACACTCTTTGTTTGGGCTCTGGGATTCCGGGCGGCTTCCGGCTCCGAGTTAATACTACTTCAAGTTCATAACCACCACGGACACTCTCTGACAACCGCAGATGCCACCACAAAGTTGACGAATTTCGAGAATCTCTTCGACCGTGAATCCTCGAAAATCCCCGTCGCTGTGAAACCATCATGCGCAGATCAGACGCTCTTGGCTTCATCTTTGGCCGGACGATGGCGAGCCAGAGTGGAGCTGGAGGTGAGGTATGGGAAATAACCTCAGAAACTCGGGGTAAGCAAGAACCGCATGTTGTGCCCACCGATCCCAAATCGCCCCAAACTTTCGAACAATCTATGTGTTGCATCTCTGCGAGATTGCTGGCCCGAGCCCGGTTACAGGCGAGGTGCAAAGTTGGTCCCTGCCATCGCCGTCGCTTAGTGCCAGCTGAAAGCAGTGCACCACTGCCGTGCCAGCAGTAGCCTCTGGGGAGCCGCGAGGATATAAATAGTATTCATGGCTAGCTGCTTTTTACTGAGTGTTCCATGGTCTTCAGATGCATTTGGGTCCATGCAGTCCGCTGTTGGACGAGCTGCTCCAGAAGTGCTCCGGGATGAGTTGCTGGGCAGGGACTGGCCGTGGTTTATCCTCGGGCCGGCAACACTCGAGTCCGAAGGCTGCATGTCTCCAACCCCACCGGAAAGTTAACTCTTGCACCAGAAGGACATTGAGCCTGACATACATACATACACACATACATACAGACATACATGCATCCATCTATACTACTATGTCTACACTGTTTGCATAGAGACTTTCGAAGGCTCTTGACGAAGCTTGCATTTGGGAGCCTGCGCAGACGAGAGCTTGGGGTCACCACGCTCTGTCACACACACACACACACATCAGTCCAGTCACGTACACAGACAAGTCAAGCAATTCGTCGGCTGAAGAAAGAGGCACTTCGCCCGCGCGCACACGCGCACACACACGCACACAGCCAAAGTATCACTCAAACGGAGGAGTGACTCGCCACCGCGAACACAACATAACTGCTCGTTGTGGTTTGGGAGGGTAGTGCTCCCTGCATGATGCTTCTGCGGGTCTGATCGAGCTACGAATGCGAAGTATTCAAAGCTGAGGTGACCTGCTCGCCTTTGCGGGAAAAGAACTTGATACGTACATGGATCGGGATACTCTCCCCCGGAGATTCTTCTTGAGGGCCCCGCCATGGAACGATGATTCGATGATCACGAATGTTCAGATGACGGTCTAGAGAGCTCAGTGCCAAGTGCACACGTCCAAGCGGCCCGCAAGCGACGAAAACGATTTTTCAGGCAAGACCAGTTAGTTGATCTGCCACAGAACAGGATCAACCGCCAAGGTGGACAGTGCCTTGGGAACCGGCCAAGGCCCTCACCCAAGCATGCTGTACAAGACCCTTTAAATCTCTTTAAGCTTATCGTCCAACTAGTTTAACCAGCGCTATACATGTATGATATATGTATTTTTTGGCACAAATGCATGCGTGCTTACATACGCATGGAGGGATGCATAAATTGCATGTATTTACGTACGTATGCTATGCATGCACATGTTTCAACTATATATATATATATGCATTTAGGCATGTAGGTATATGTAGGCATGTGCGTACGTATGTATGATTCGGTATGTATGTACGTTTGTGTGGCTTTCGTTCTAGTGACACGGGGTAGCAAGCTGATGTTTTCCTGTCCAAGCCTAAGAAAGCGCATCCCGAACCCTTCTTCTGCCACGTGACACACAGACTCCGTTGCGTCTGAGGTTTGCCAGGGCCAGCTCAAAGGTTTCCTGCAATCGGGCTTAAGACTTCAACGAGGCCTTTTGGGCCTGGGGCAAGGTGGAAATCTGAGACACACGGGCGGGACTACGACTACGACATACTGCGACCATGAAGGATGGGATCTTCATTAGGCTCGTGGCCTCTCGAGCTTTGAAGCTCCTCAGGGTCCACTCGTGCTGACAAAGTCTGGGTAAAGGCAGAGCGCCCATCTGGGCTTACTGTGTTCTCAAACTGCAGGGCTCGTCTCTGCAAATTAAGACGCACAACTGTAACCCCACACCCCATAAGGATAGCAGGTTTTAACCCCGCCATGACTTAGAGGAATAATCCTCTTTGTTGTTGCGCTGTTCATAGATCAAACCACCCCAGCCCAGCCAGGCCTTGGCAGGCTCAAAGGCCAGGACTGTCAGTGTCCCAGGTCCTTTCCTGCATTGAGAAGTCACGCAGGTGCCGGAACTTCGAATGGTTCTGCTTTCAGGTTAATGGCTTTGATGGGTGGACCTTTCTAGGAGCGAGTGAAGCCAAAGTTGAGGTGCCAATCACTGTCATTTTCCTGAAGCAGAAAACGATGACGCGGCTATCCAAGCGCAAGGAGTGCCCACGAACCAGAACACGCATTCAAATCACGTGTAAGCCTGTGCAACAGAGTGTCGGACCGCAGGAAACATGCATCCGAGCGTCCATTGGCGGGCTAGGATCAGGCTGAACCTCTGCATTCCGCAGCTGGCGCAGATTTCCATGTCTGGGTAGCACTAGTTGTGTTGGACTGAATGCGAAATCCACAGGGTCCAGCGGGGGCACGGGATTGATGCAGACATGGTGGCAGGCACAGTGCAGTCAGGAACTTATCAAAAGGTTGGCGAAATGCCCCGACTCGTAAGACGGCTCCGGAACCACAAGGCGCAGCACAAACAGAAGTCCCGCGGAAGCACGGCATAGTCATCTATCGACTGTTGCTCAAACCTTTCATGACTTTTGAGTTTAGACGGCGAGAGACAGACCCAGGTTCAGGCCGCCATCCACGACAATTGAGTCCGCTGGCAACTTGTTCAGGTCGCCATAGCAGCGCTCGCGGAGGATCTCCCGATAGATAAACTGCACCTCGTTTTGTCGGAGTTGGGGCTAGGGAGCCCCCCCTGTTTTTTGGACTTTCCTGCTCTCACCCCAAACCAAACATCGCTCGACCTGGGTTGTTGATTCTTAGCGCTGGCTTCGAACGATTCAGGCTGCTTGTGCAAATCGGACCCACCGCAATTATGATACCCAGTATCAAACCCTTCTGTGCACCTCCCCCGCACTGCGCCCCAGCACGTCCAGGGCGGCATCTGGATCCTGAAAAGCTTCAAGGTCGGGTCTGCGTTGATTCTCGCTGGCACAATTCGAAGTCGCGAAGCCTTCAAGCATTTTCGTCAATCCCAAACCAAATGTCAGCGGCTTGGCCACTAGAGTCACTCGAGCTTAGACATCATGCACATCGGCAGCGACACAGCGCCTGTCGAAAGTTTAAGCATAATTTTCCGTGAGGGATCATTAATGATCAATACATGATCATCCGGCGATCCTCTGAATCTGACATAGCATTTACATGTTGTGGCTTGGCCACGCGTGTCATCTCTGCTGTGTGCATTGTCAAATTTGCAAACGACACGAAGTACAAGAATGTTATCAAGCAGTGTGTTTCCCATTCCACATCATCAATATGAACATCCGCGTCCACGCCGCTGCACCCCACCGAGCAATGCGTCCCAGGACAATGGTGGCTGCACAAACGCGGCGCCATGCTCAAAGTAACTCACTTTTGACTTGCTCATTAGACATGCACGATGTGACCACATAAGTCATGACAGGCGGGGAACCTCCTCCAGAAAGGCATGGATCGGTCGTGCGGGTCGCAGGCATGCACCACTTTGGGCGCATCGGAGCGGAGCTGTCGCGGCCTTGCAAAGTCTCATCGGCGGCTTTGGAGAGGAGATGAAGTTTTCAGCATTTTCGGCCTACTGGTTATTGGTTCAAGGGAAAGTACGGAGGTTGCGTTTTGGGCACTCAGCCGTGTGCCACTGAGGATTTCAACAATGTCCAGATTTTGCATTCTACTCGAGTCTAGTGCTGATTCCTTTTTTCAGACCGAGAAGCCATGGCCATGATCTCCGTAACTGCCGTCTCGGTGCCCGCCTGACATGAAGCCGAGTGTTTACCGTTTGATGCATGACGGAAAAACACTTCAATTCGAAACCAAGTTGCGAGGGTTTAAACCTCGTATATATGCCGACATAATGAAATTGCAACGATGTATTTCTCTACACTATTTTCAGGCGCCGATACGCTCTTCCAGAAGCCGGAGTTGCAATTGATTGTTCAGGATTTCGCGAGCTTGTGCACTTCCTTGGTCCAGGGGCCTGGAATCGATACTAGGTTGGGGCATCGCCTTCCCAACTCTGCGTTGATCGTGCCTGAAACTTTAACATTATAATTTTGAGACGGCCATGCGCCTGGCGACGCCTAACCCTGCGTTTAAAAATAAGCCTTCGCAAACTTGTGCGCTCGCTCGCTCGCTCGCTCGCTCTCGCTCTCTCGCTCTCTCTGCTCTCTCTCGCTCTGTCTCGCTCTCTCTCTCTCTCTCTCTCTCTCTCTCTCTCTTTCTTGCGTATTTGGCATGTGTGTGTGTGTTACTTCTGTAGTCGTC